AACATATTAAATTACAGTAGACTCATGGTTGGATATTTCTGTAAAATTCCACTTGTAGTAAGTCAGGGGGCACCTCTGGCAACTACTACAAGCTTTGAAATGGGAGAAATCAATTTGTGTGATATACAGTAATTTTCCAAAAAATAAATAAATTACTGTACACTCATGGTTGGATATTTCTGAGAAATTCCACCTGTAGTAAGTCAGGGAGCACCTCTGACAACCACTACAACCTCTGAAGTGGGAGAAATTGGTTTAGTAATAATTTGAAATTATTGCAAATTCACAGATGTTTCTATTAAAAAACCTTAGCAGAAAAGCTCCAGTAGCAATGCTTGTTTCTCCAGAATGCACTGAACACTTTGTAGACGGTCCCTAGCAAAGAGCTGAGCTTCCAATGCTGGCTTATTGGTTTTCGCAGAAAATGCCTCGTCACTACAATAATTAATGAACATATCACTCACTATGCAATGTTGTAGTACAATCTGCATTTTCTCCTGAAACAGAGAGTGTGACATTTGTGATTTTGGTGGTGTCGTTTGAAAGATATAGGGGAGGCAAATCCGAATATCAAACGAATATCGAATATAAAACTTTACCACGCTCTATTAGCGTTGGGTATGGGCACACGGTCTTATTTAGAAAACATACAAAAAGAGACGCATATAATGTTTATTCATTTGTTTTGTATTTGTCCGAGTAACAAAGCAAAGGAATGATAAGCTGCTTTAGTCAAAAACTGCATTTTACTTCTCATTTCAAATAAAATGCAGGGTTGGCAACTTTGATCAGTTGCATGGAGTGAGATTTTCTGTTCTCTGTTCTGCACAAACATTTACATGTATGTAAGTTTTATTACCTTGCAAATAGTCTGTAGGGTTTGCAAACTGCCCTAACGTTTATGATGCAGCTAATTTTAAGTTCAAAATGGAATACTGATTTGCCGTAAGATTTCTCGCATGAGAGTCTGAAAGTTTTTTTTGTTTCACCAGCATTGATTTGTATAGAAAATCGTATACAGTTGTTAAAAAGTGGAAACTTCGACCAAGATGAAATCACCAATAAATGACTTAATTCTATTTATTCAACATTTTATAAAATGCATACTATGTTTAAAAATTTCCAGCTTTACGGTTTCAGGACAGAACAGCCACTCTGTTGTGAACATTACGACTTTTTGAGTGTTGTTAGCTGCTGTTATTAACACTAATAACACATTAGCGCAAACAAAAGGGCTGCATACACCGAAGTAGTTCTTGCTTGTTCATTGGCGTGGAAAAGGCGGTTCCAGTGTTGTTAGGGGGGTAATCAACGTTTTATTTACCTTTATTTTACCAGGAAGTCCCATTGAGATATAAAATCTCTTTTACAAGAGAGACCTGGCCAAGGTAGCAGCCATACGAAACATAAACATATACAGTACATGACAATAAAACATTAAACAGTAAAACAGAAGAACAATTGTTTTTGCACAGTGGCTTCTCAAGCAAAACATTGACATTCCTCAGTCACTGTACTATTTATGATGATCTTAAAATCCTTTAAAGATATTAGTATTTGCAATTTAAGAACTTTTTGAAGGTTGTTCCATGACTATGGTGCGTAATGAGAAAATGCTGTTTTGCCAAGGTCTGTCAGTGTTAAGATGCCGACCCAGGAACGAGGCAGACCCCGAAATGCAGGAGCCGGGTTTATTTACATAAACAAAGCCAATCACATGCAGTGCCAAAGGGGAAATCCGTAGGAATAGTCGGGTCGGGCGCTGAAGGGTCGAAGCCGGGTAAATCAGTCCTACAAAGAGGGACGGGACGATGAGACGAAGGGATGGATCAGGCAGGACGAGTGGATCAGGCAGGCAGGAGAAACGAGGCAAGCAGGAACGGGGACGAAGGCAGGGCGAGCGGGACCAGGCAGGGATGCAGGGCAGGCGGGACAGCAGGGCACGGCGAAACAGGCAGGGAAAGGAGAGGAAACACAAGACAGGTAAACGCTCGGTAATGCTCCGGTACATGGCAACAATACTTCGCACCGGCTGTCAGTACTGCTAAGCCTTAAGTATAGGTCCGGCAAATGAGGATGATTGCTAAGTGCTGCGCTGCCCCACCCCTGTGGGCGTGACAGTCAGGACCTGGGGGACATATAAAGGCAACCACTTGGAGGCACGCAAGTGGTAGCTATTGGAGCTGATGCAGAGTAGGGTACTGAGATATTCTGGGAGTTTACCCAGCAATGCTTTATAAACAAACATGTACCAATGCCGTTTTCTACGGATGGTTAATGACGTCCAGCCAACTAAGTCGTATAAAATGCAATGATGAGTGAGGGATTTTGCATTTAAAATAAAACGTAGAGAGGCATGATACATTGAATCTAGGCTCCTTAACGTGGAGGAGGCCGCATGCATGTACAGCATATCACCATAGTCTATCACAGGTAAAAAGGTAGCTTCCACTAGTTTTTTCTTTGAAAATACGTTACTTGCAAGATCGCTATTTTTCTATTTGTTGCAATTGTTTTCATTATTACTTTAACTTGACACACCACATCTTTAAATTCTCATGGTGGCATTATAATATAGACCAGTTAATATTGATGGTATCTCATGCTGCATCATATGTTTTAAAATTACTACACAATGAATATTGAACTGAAGTTTGACATAAAAAAGTTAAATCGCATAATCGCATCAAATCGTAATCGCAATGTCTGTCAGAAAAATCACAATTAGATATTTTCCCCAAATCCTGCAGCTCTAACGTCAACTTAATATGACCCATTAGGAAACGATTCCCCGGTTGCAGTTCCTGTTGTGGCTGAGCGTGCATATGGCTGAGAGTGCACATTCTGCAGCCAGACCCTTTTTCACGCTTTCAATCGACAGTCTCGGAAATCAGCCATCACACCTTCAATCTCTGATGTAATTTCCTGTTTTAATTACAAAACGAGCAGAAAATTGCAAATTGCGCAGGGATTTCAGAAGCGACCAGAAAACTAAGAGATGCGCAAGAAACGGTGAATTAAGCGTGAGGCTGCGAGAAGCGAGCGGTCTTATCTGCGTTTCAAAGGCACAGTGCTTATCCTGTGCTCTCGTCGCCTCTTAGTTTGCTCGGTTTTCTGTCATTCTGCGCCCTCTTAGTGTCTGTTTTGCTCGGTTTAGCTATGCATTTGTACGGTGGCCCCTGCAAATTAAAAAAACACGCAAAAGAAAAAGCAGAAACAACAACAACCATCACTACTGTGTAGCGACTGGGCCACATGAGCTCACCGCGCCCCCTAGCGTGGTGGAGCACTTCCGGTTTGGGATTGTCTACTTGCTGCGCATTTTCATTTTGTTTCTGCTTTTTCTTTTGCGTGTGTTTTTTTAATTTGCTGCGCATTTTCATTTTGTTTCTGCTTTTTCTTTTGCGTGTGTTTTTTAAATTTGCTGCGCATTTTCATTTTGTGTCTGCTTTTTCTTTTGCGTGTGTTTTTTTAATTTGCAGTGCATTTTCATTTTGTTTCTGCTTTTGTGTGTGTTTTGTCTCTAGGGGCCACCGTACATTTGCGCTCTCGTATGACACTGATCTCACTCCATAGAAAATAACTTTCTTTTTCCCGTCATGTTTCCTATGCATACAGCATTAGCCTCAGGTAGCTAGCCACAAACAGTCAGGTTACTGCACGGCAAGGTAGGCTTATCAAAGTAAAGCAAAAGAAAAAAAAAAAGAATTAGCATAGTTTAACATTTTTTATGTATGTTGTCGTATAAAAAGACCCAAAATGAACACTGTAAGTGTACTACTTGATTACTATAAGCAAATTACTGAAACAGTATTTGTATATGAATGATTCTGTCACAAGCTTTTTGATTCATATATATAAGCGGTTCATACTATAATTGTGATCACTATAAGCGGGTTCCACTGTATCACTAAACAAAAAGGTGATTTTACACTGCAAAGTTGTAGTTGTCATGAAAAATAATAACCCTGTACCATGCATTGATCACTAACTGCTATTCTGCTACTGCTAACAGCATTGTAAGGAACTGTGGTTTTGATACATATTTCACAGTGTTATGATATCTCAGCAACAACTCAAAAACCAAAGAACAAATTTTCTGGAGATGTTCATTACATTATGAGCTAGCTTTAGTAAAAACATGATCAATTTTGAAATATAGTTTTTTTTGTTATTGAATTTTTAATATTTTAATCAGGTATTAGTAATTATTCAAATGGGGATGGCATATTATTTATTCAATCTATAGAGCAGGACAATAGCTTTAAAACAATATGAAGACCATTTCTGTGCAGCTTATATTAAGGTAAATATAGCTAGTCATAGTCACCCCCCAAAAAAAAGTTAAAAATTTGTTCGCTTAAATCTCCCTCAATATTGATCCAAGACACGCCCAATTTCAGTTTCATGAGTTACTCATGTGACCAAATCAGCATGCTAAGTTTTGTTAATTGCTAACAGACAAAAATTAAAACTATATTTACAAAAAAAAAACAACAAAATCAACAAAAAGTACCACCACACCACCAATGTTTTTTTTTTTTTTTTTTACCATAATATCTCCTCTTTTAAAAGATGTTTTGCCAGGGAAGAGTGCAGAGTAAAAATTGAGTAAATGATATATATATCACATTTAATACATTAATGAATACCTTTTCGCTTGCACCTCCTTAGTTCTGCGTTAGAAAATTTGATCTGTCACCGACATACTTTTGTCTAAGTGTTTATTAGCAGAATATTTTAACATTATTTTTTATTCTATGGAAAATGAAAGATCAGTCTGCTGGCCAGATTTAATAATGAATTATAAACATGTCGCGGGTCGTATTAATAAAATGTAAATAAAAGGCTGTGTCCTGTTATGATCACAATCAATCCTGCAGTAGGTAACAAAAAAAAAAGGCTTGTTCATCCTCGATTGTTTTTCACGGTGCAGTTTTCTATGAAATTACATGTGAAGTTTAACCTATGACCTTTTTGCGTCTCCCATACTTGTTTAGCATAAGGGTCCCAGTTCCTATTTTGCGGAGGGAAAGCGACATACAAAAGTGGCCAGGAGCTACAGAAGTTTCCGGTTGAAATGGCCCAGGAACTCGGAACTAAGTTTCCAAATTTTGGTGGGAAAGTGCCTCATGAAACATTTCTACAGCTTGCACAACTACAGCTTGATGCATAATCTATGCAGGGACAGATGCACGGAGAGAAAAGCGCTACCAAATACATACCTTATGTTTACCTTTGTAAATTTATTATTTGGTGTTTATGTTTTAAAGGGAACAATTTAACTTAATTTGTGACTTTTTCCTTTAAAATGAAACATCATATTGTTATTTCTGTAAATTGTATATTACCAAGGCATTTATATGTAATACAGTTTGAATACAGGAAAAAAAATGACTGTCTTGCATCACATGTTGATTTACGTTGTGCACAGAAATTTTGTGCTGGGGGTCTGAACATTTTCAGTAAAGAACACCAGTGCTACCAGTAGTAAAAGTTAGTCTGGAACCCTTTCTCATATATGTCATTTTGAAGGTCAGGTCACTTTCAATTAATATCTTTTATAAAGTCATTATATTGCTTGGTGTTCCTGTTTATACTTCAGCTGGTATATTCATTTATTGAATAATTAAACAAAATTCCTGACTGTGTTTAATAGATATAGATGTTGTAGACACAATGATGTGTGATGATTGAAAAGTTTAATGCTAACATGTGTCCCACAGCATAGGACTGTCTTAAAAATATTCCTGGTTTACTATTCAAGATTGACTTAAAACACTAGTTGAAAGAATGTATTTCTTAGTAGAAACTGAAATTTAAAGAACATGAATTGGAGGGGTCTGTATGTCTGTTTTTATTAGGCTAAGTTGTAATATTAAACTGAGTTTGAGAAATTTGTTATTAATGTTTTTTTATTATTATTATTTTTTTTTTTTAGACGTGGGTTTCAGGGACCACAACAAAGGCAGCCATGAGTCGACGGAAGATTGGAGACTTGTACAGAGCCCCCTTCCCCCTGTACACAGTTCATTTTCATAGAGAAACAGGATTGGTTATTACAGCTGGTGGCGGTGGTGCTTCTAAGACTGGCATTAAGAATGGAGTGGTTAGTGGTCTTTTTACTAATCCAGCATCATCTATGACTAATAACTGTAGCTGATGTGCTACAAAGCCTGGTTAAGCTCAAAGTAAATAAATTGCAAGGCCATGATGGTATCTTAACTATAGTTTCAAAAGATATGATGGATATTATTTGCTGACCTTTAACTTTACTATTTCACAAATCCTTACCTGCTGGTATGGTACCTTCTGATTGGAAGCATGCTAATATAACGCCCATATTCAAAAAAGGTGAAAGAAGTAATCTGTCAAACTATATAGGCTAATAAGTGTAACTTGCATAACGGGAAAAGTAATGGAAACTATAATCAAAATGAAAATGGTAGATTACCTTAATTCAGATATCATTCTGAGGGATAGCCAACATGGATTTAGCAGAGGTAGATCCTATTTAATTAATCTACTTGAGTTCTTTTAGAAAGCTATAAGAGAAATTGATCACAAAAAGGCCTATGATGTGATCTACATAGATTTCCAGAAAGTCTTTAATGTTGTCTCGCACAAACAGCTCCTCTTTAAAGTCAAAGCAGCAGGGATTATAGGAACTGTATCAGTTTGGATTGAAAACTTGTTAACCAACTGGAAACAGCAGGTAGTTATTAGAGGCACAGTTTCACAGTGCCTACATTCCTAGTGGGGTACTGCAGGGTTCAATTTTAGGACCACTGTTATTTCTAATTAACATTAACGATATTGACACCAATATATACAGTAAACTGGTTAAATTTGCAGACGACACCAATGTGGGTGGTGTAGCAGATACTGAACTAGTGGTACAGAAGCCAAAGAGGGATCTTGATTTATTTAGTGACTGAGCTGATATCTGACAGTTGAAATTTAATGTAGACAAATGTAAGGTAATCCATGCAGGGAGAAATATGAAGTACAGATATTTTATGGGTTCCACTGAAATAAAGGTAGCTGATTATGAGAAAGACCTTGGTGTGTATGTTGATGCTTCCATGTCCCACTCTCGCCAGTGTGGGGAAGCAATTAGGCTAATAGGTTGTAGGTGTGCAGAGTTTAAGTCAAGGGACATGATGCTAAGATTTTACGATTCCTTGGTATGACCTCACCTAGAATATTGTGTGCAGGTTTGGTCACCTTACCTTAAAAAGGACCCTTAGAAAGGGTTCAATGTAGGGCTACAAGAATGATTCCTGGTCTTAGAGCAATGTCTTATGAAGATAGGTTAGCGGAGCTGAATCTGTTCAGCCTTGACCAGTGGAAACTAAGGGGGGACATGATCCAGATATATAAGATTCTAACAGGTCTGGATGCGGTTCAACCAAATAGTTACTTCAATATTAGTTCAAATACAAGAACTCGTGGCCATAGGTGGAAATTAGCGGGAGAACATTTTAAACTGGATTTGAGAAAGCACTTCTTTACACAACATGTAGTTAGAGTATGGAATAGTCTTCCTGTTAGTGTAGTGTAAGCTAAAACCTTGGGTTCCTTTAAATTAGAACTAGGTAAGATTTTAACAACCTCAAACTATTAGTTGAGTTCTCCCCCAAACAAGCTTGATAGGCCAAATTTCATTTGTAAATTTCTTACGTTTTTATTGCAGCCTTTTTATCTTTACTGTAAATTTGCTAATTTACATCTTGTCGTTACATGTAATGTAACACAGTTTTGTAAAATTAGGTAGCATAGGATTTCCTGTGGCATCCGTTGACTGTGTTTGTGTATATTAGTGTGCTCAGTTGGAGGTTGACCGATGGGACTGTTCTGCAGCACTTTCTTAGCCTGGAGCTGGTTGAGGGGAAGCATAGTGCCACATTGCTGCACTCCCACGACACTGAAACACGCGCCACCATGAACATGGCTGTTGAAGGCAATGTTATGGCTGCTGGACAAGACGGTTGCTGCTGCCTGATGCGCTTTCAGCAGCACTCACCCAAGGACCTTCGCAAGGATAACACCAAGCGGGGTAAGAAGCCAAAGCAGTCTGCTTCTTAGTCTTGATTTTAACTGTCTTTAGTAATTTGTAAGTATTCCTCTATAAGCTCCATGATCAGCTGGCCTGTGCTGTTGTCTACAGGTGCTAGTGGTGATGTTGATGGCCCCAGGCGGCGAGATGGTCATCATCAGGGCAGTGGGGGAGGTGGTGGACTGGAGACCAGGACTGAGAGTTCCCAAGTGAAGGTGGAGGTGCTGGGTGAGGTGTGCTCTGACCTGAGCCCCACTGATGCACTGCAGAAATGCGTCAGGTTCAGCCCGGAGCACAACCTTTTGCTGACTGGGGGTGCCGATGGCCACGTCCGTGTATGGGAGGTGAGGTGGGATGGCATTGCTCAGGCTGTCTGTTTATCAGCATTTTCTGATCCCCTTTCAGTGATGTCTCATTGTTTCACATTTTCACTCCCTCCATCATTGCGGTTTTCTTGATGGTTCCATTTTATTTCTACTTCTTCTCTGCTCTACCTTTTTTGTCCTGCTCTTAGCTGAGAGTGCAGTTATGCTGGCAAGCAAAATATTCAGTGAACTTTAGGTGATAGACCTATGTTTAGTACTCTACTGGGGCAAAATCTCACTTGATCATGAATGAACTGAAAGACCTGCTCTTACAACTACATTCTATCCTAGTATCCTTCTTTGAAGAAGAAACTGGATTTCAAAGCTCATGAAGGAGAGATTCAAGATTTAGACATTAGTTCAAACAAAAAGGTAAGAATTGAACTGTGTTTCAGGGGTGATTTTAACTGAAACTGTTGTATGTTACAGATCACACGTTGACATGTGACAATGGACATCATAAAAACTCTTAAATATTAAGTATTTGTGCATTTTTCAGTCTTGACATCAGAAACATTATGCACTTGCAATTCATACAGACATTAAGAAATACTTTGAAATGTTAATGCCGATAACTAAATGATAGTAACTTGGTCATTTGATTTTTCCTTTATACACAAAAAATCCAGGTGGAGAAGGTAATGTTTTAATAAATGAAAAGAAAAACTAAAAAATCTCAGTGTACACACCTTTGAATTCTCGGAAGAACCTTTCACTTGAATTACCACAAACATCTTAGGTTTCCACCCGCATCCAATGCCTACATCTTTGAACAATTGCCCATTCCTCCCATAAGCTTAGTTGAAATTCAGAGAGACAGTGGGACTTGCACTTTAAAATTCAATCGGTCCGAGGCTGACTCTGTATAGGTCACATCAGTATTGTACAGTATTGTATTTCATGTATCTAGGCAGAGAGCAGCTGATATTAACCTTTTTCCTCCAAGAATTTATCTGAATTTGGTAGCTTTCTTTCCTCTTCTCACTCCATTGCCAAATAGTTTTGTTCCATATAGTTCATATAGTTCCAAATAGTTTCATGTGGCTGCAGAATCTGTAGAATGATGTTTTATATATACATTAAACAAGCCTTAATGTGGAATCCTGAATTTTAAAGCATGTGTAGATGTTCTGTATCACTACCTCTGTTCCCTCATCCTTCATGTTTGCTTTCATATGCATTTATACTGTATTGTACAGTATTATATTGTACAGAAAGTCTCTCCCCAATATAGTCATAGACCGAGCAGCAGTAATGTTCCCAGGACAGCTCCCTGCTCTCCTCACCTTTTCACACTCCACTTTCAGTGGTACAGTAAAGCTTTTCTGTCTGTGTGTGTCTGAAACAGGTTGTGACAGTGGGGCGTGATTTTGCATGCTGTGTCTGGAGTGATGACCAGCTGGCCATGGGTCTGCGCTGGCAAGACAGCCTGCCTCATATCGCTGAAAAGATGTATCGCTACCAGGCCTGCAGGTACCACCTTGCTTACCACGGTACTGTGTGATGTTTCCACACTGTAACATTAAACAGACACTTTATTGCCTGCTGTTTGTTAGTATTTCCCATTTTCTCAAATAAATTGGTTTGTTTGTGAGTGAGTGAGTGCCTGTGTAAGTTCTCTGTCTGTTTTGGGGAGGGGAGCCGCTCTGGGGGCGGTAAGTGGCTTAGTGGGCTAAGTCTCTGTGCCTGTGATCAGGAGATCCCCGGTTCGAGCTCTGGAGTCAGCAGCACAGTCACATGTCCGTGGGCTCTTGAGCAAGGCCCTTAACCCCCAGCTCCAGGGGTGCTGCATGTTGGCTGACCTTATACTGTTATCCTCAAGCTATGGAAAGCAAAATGGGGTTGGCAAAAATAAGCATTCCTATGTACCTGTACTTGTGCAAATGGCAAATAAAACATGTTTGTTTGTTTGTTTTTCCCTCACTTAGGTTTGGAAAGGTAGAGGACCTGCCAGGTGTTCTTAGACTGTACACTGTTCAGGTACCCCACAAAAGAGATCGCAAACCGCCTGCTTGCTATATCACCAAATGGGAAGGGCAAAACTTTTTGCCCCTCCTCACAAAACCTTGTGGTAAAGAAGTCATCTCCTGTCTTGAGGTTAGGTAAGAATGTGGTATCATTTTGTCTGTCTCAAATATTTGAGTTTGATTCTGATTCTACTGCACTATAGCAGCTCTGTTTTTTTCTGTTTTAGTGACTCTGGGACATTCCTGGGCTTGGGGACAGTAACCGGATCAGTGGCCATATTTATTGCTTTCTCACTACAGGTAGCTATAGTCACAATTACACATGAACGTAGTTCCATCCACACACGTGCAGTGACTTATGACTTCCCTTTTGTGTCCCTTGCTTCTGCAGAAGCTGTATTACGTACAGGAAGCTCACGGTATCGTGGTGACAGACTTAGCCTTCCTCCCAGAAGTGGTGCAGGGCAAGAATTTCCTGGGAGACAATGAAGTAGCTATGTTAAGTGTGGCGGTGGACAGCCGCTGTCAGATGCACATAATTCCAAATCGCAGTAAGTATGTATTTAAATAACTACTAGAAATTTGACAGGTGTATGGCATAATATCCCTATGACAGGGTAATGCAGTAATTTTATGGTCCTACAATAGCATTGGTAAGGGATATGGGCAATATATATTAAATGACAAAAATGGTTGCTATTATGAATGATTGTTATGAAATGCAAATATTATTATTATTATATAAATTTTTACTTCTGGAAATGCTGTATTAAGTAAGGGATAATGTACAGGCAGCCGGTAGTTATCGCAGAAATAAGTCCCGACAGTGTGATCAGGACCCGACGCGAAGCGGAGGGTCTTGTATCACACTGAAGGGGCTTATTTTGCGATAACTACCGGCTGCCTGTACATTATCCCGCTTATTACACGGCTACTTGCCACATAAGGAAAAAAACTGGACATGAATATGAATTTGAAACATTTTATTGGCATATTTGTTTTAAATTAACATTTTTAAACGGTAATCTTTGTTGGCGCGGAGGGATTTTAAACATACAAGTAGTACCGGCTATGCATTATTACTTTGGAGAGGTTATTTGAAAAGAACGAACCTGCAAATGTCTCAACTGACCAATCAGAATCAAGCATTCCAGAGAGCCGTGTAATAAGATTAGTTATTATACCTCTTCCTTTATGTAAAGAAATAAGTGTATTTACATTTATTAGAAATCTTTATTTCTTAAGTGTTTGCTTTTGGGCAATATCCTCCTGAGACTCCACCCATTCATTTATGTCCATTGTAGTGGACATTTTGTTTTTGCATCTATCTTTTCACTGATGTAAGGAAACGTGTTTATTCTTGTTTTACACTAAAGAGGACATGCTGTGAAATTAAAAATAAAAATAAATTTGAAACAATCTAAATTGTAAGATGTCTTATTTCCCCCAAAGACAACCTAAAATTGAAGGACACTTTTTTCCTTGGGTCTCAGGAGGATATAGTAAATATCCAGTAGTAATTGGCAACAGAACTTCTGTTTCAAGTCAGAGCTTCTTTATACAATTTTTGAAATCCTGCAGGCTGGGGATGGATTACAAAAACATGTAACATGAATAAGGCTTCCTTGTCTTACCCTTCTTACCAGGGTCCTTTCCTATATGGCTGGTGCTGCTGCTGTGTGGCCTCCTCATCGTGGCTGTGGTCTTCCTCCTGCAGCAGGTCTTCCCAGGGTTCATTTAGCCTAAGTGCACTCCACATCCAGTGTATCCAAGACCCAAGGATGCTGCCTCTTCATGGATGATGCTTGAGCAACAACATGCAATTATTTAAATTAATCCTATAAATCAGAATACTGGAAGGTAGTTATAGAAATAGCAGGATTCTCACTTTTTTGATACAGTTCTTTCTTTACCACTAGAATTATAAGTGATTGCTGTTAAGCAGTGAGGCCAGTCACCCAATGGAGAGCAGTGTCACCAGAAGGTGGTGCTGGAGAGAACTAGAGCAAGTTCACATCTACTTTCTTGTACAGATGTCCCATAGATAAGCTGGAGAGCACCCCTTCCTCTTTTCTATACTTGTGCTTAACCCCCCCAAAACTGATGTTGCATATATAACAGGTGTGTTTGTTTAAAAAATGTGCAGTATGCTTGTCTGGGGTTTGTAATTGAAAATATTATAAATTTTATTTTGACTGTGTCTCCTCCGTGCTTTGATGCTGTAGTGTTCTCCCTGGGAGTTTCCTGGGTCACACACCAAGTGCTCTTATTGTATTAAAGCAAACTTATTTTAAAGCTTGCGTTTGTAGCATGGACACTGGTTTTTCCTTAGTATTGCCTTTGTGGAGATTAAACAGACACACAGGTATGATCTAAATTCAGAATTCATAAGTATACGGTATCATTAATGAGACATGCCAGCAAAATGCCATAGTTCTGTTGCATAACATTTTGCACCTTTGCCACTCTGCTTTTAGCTAATAGATTGTGTCACCTCGCTTCTATGTTGCTTTGGACAAAAGCACCTGCTAAATATATAAAATGTAAATGTTTGAATGTCACACATGAGCAGGTTATCCTATAAAACTTCAGAACTGAATAGAATGACTCTACTGCCATGTACCCGTCAGTTTCTGTAGAAGAAAGACAACATTTTGTGAATGAACAACAACAAATAATTTATTTTTGTATAGCGCATTATCACAACATTACATTGTCCCAAAGCGCTTTACAGCATCCCCACCCAAACCCCCAGTGAGTAAGACATAGGCGACAGTGGCAAGGAAAAACTCCCCAGAAGGAAGAAACCTTGGGAGGGACCAGACTCAAAGGGGGAGCCCATCCTCCAGGGGCCAGCAGGGAGAGTCAAATACAGTTAAATCTGAAACACAAACGGGGAGCAGGGGGGAGATGACAAGCCGGTGCCACAACTTCCTCCAATCGCCAGGCAGCCAGAAGGCAGGGAGTGGGTCATACAAGGAAGATGACACAGGCAGAACGGCGAGCTGGATGCACGGACGTCATTGGTAGTGGAACCAGTGTGGTACAAAAATCAATGATGCAAATACAATTGTAATCTCAATCAGTAATTACCAAAGAAATTCATAACAACACTGTTGATTTAATTACAATGGCTATAATGATTAATTGCTGCTTTGGAATAGTTATAATACTTGATTGATCCCTGTGGGCAAATTGTCTTTATGCCTCCCTGAACTTGCTCTTTGTAGAGTAAGTTGTCCGCAAAGGGCAGCACCCAGGGAGCTGGCAGTTAAGGCCCTTGCTCAAGGGCCCGCAGATGTGCTGAGGCTAGGTTTGAACCAGCAACCTTCTGATTACAGTCACACAGGCTTAGCCCACTGACTCACACACTGCTTATTAAGCTAAGCATGTACAAGCTTGCTGAAGTAATGGGTTTTTCACTTTTAAAATTAGAAGTATTTTATGAGGAACTAACATGTGGTAGCTTAATCTGTAAAAGGACTGGATAAAGGTGCAGACATGATCCAAGAAGATAGAACTGTTACAGATACCGATATTAGAAATTTCTGTGCTGATATCATATGTCAAAGATAAGTGAAAAGGGGTACAAGGGAATATACTGTAGGGGAAGTACAATGAAGAAAGTAACTGAAAACAGCTTGTTGAGATAGTGAAACCATGAGAACAATTGGCTTCTACAGGTTGACCCTGCCTTGAACTGATAAAGACAGAAGTAGCTGGTGTCTATATCTGACCCCTCCCTGAACTGTCTGTAAACTCGCGTTTTTGGCTATAAAAGATGTTGTTCAGGGAGCAGATCACGAGACGCATGAAATACTGATGATTGTCTGCTCCCCCAAAGCTTTGCAGTAATAAAGTTTTGTCAGTCTCTTAAGCAAATAGACTTCGAAAATTTCTACCACACCAGTTAGGTTGTGAATTACTAAAAATTCATACTACAATTGAACTGTGAAATGTTTGTATTTTATTGACCTTTTAATTGAATTTTTTGTAGGATTTTTGGATTAGGTTCTAATTGTTATATGATTATGTTGCAAATAAACCACATGGGAATGGAATAGAGATACTATAGTATAGTACCACAAAATAATATATTAAGCTACTGCACATTTGGAGTCTTAAACATTTTGATTTGTAGGCAAGAATTTAGAATATAGATTTGTTTTCCAGTGGAAAACATTTAACCTGAACACAAAAATTATGCTCATATGATTTTCTTATATATTTATATTTTTGGAAAACCTTTAAACATCTCATTAACCAAAATTGTCTTCTTGTCTGATGGTTAATGGACTCTGGCTGTAACTAAATTGCAAAAGTGTTTCTGCATTAAAGTTTGGGGTGAAGAGAATTTAGATTTTGCATACACATTTAAACTTCCAAACCACCAATTTGAAGTAACTTACAAAAATGGGCCTTATGCTTTATGGTAGAAAAATGTATGAAAATGTGTAGAGACTAGAAGCAGGAAACACTACAGTAATTACATATTGTAATTTGTTATATTGCATAATTTAGTGAAATCTACTAAATGTGAATAACTGCTTTTATGAACTTATGTGTTTGAGGGCTACACTCATTTCAAATCCTTTGGAATTTTTACAAAACATTTTTTTCTTAGATCGTGCTATTATCTCTCTCCAATCAGAGAGCTCAAATGTCACATCTTGAGTTTAGAAAGTTCAAAAACTATTTCAATACCATGTTTAACAATAGAACTATTTAGATTTTAATAAAATCAAGTTTATCTGTGCATCAGTGTTGGATACAGGTGGGTTCTTAGCAGCAGCCCTGCCATAGATTCCAGCTTGGTGAAACTCATAACATGTATGCACATGCTCATTCATTTCTAAGCCATATTTTTATGGTTTAGCAAGTTAAATATCCATCAATTCCTGTATGTGAGCTTTTAATTCTGACTGCTGTTCCTATTTAGATGTAATTTTTGTTATGTTTGGCATATGTTGCCTGACTGTTGAGACTTCACTTGGCTCATTAAATGATTTTTCACTTTTTGTGACCAGTGCACCTGCAATTTGGCCTCTTTGGAACTCATACTGCTTTGAAAACTCACATTGAAACTCACAAAGCCTGATTGCCAGATCCTCTTTAATAACTTGCATATATTGTTGATTGGCCTGTAATCTAATATGACTGGTTGTTATTGTAATTGTTACTTCTAAATCAAAAAGGTTTGTGATCCTTATATTTTGTAACTAGAGGAATCTCCACAGCAGTTAGGAGGAGAAGGGGTGGGATTATAAACCCCTACCTGATTGGTTTATAGCTTTGGTGCTACCAACTGAGCTACCATGCCTTCCAGAGTCACCTTTGTTTATTACAGACGCTCCTATACTTACGAACGTTCAACTTACAAACTTTCAGACATATGAACAAAGAGGACTGTAAGTCCAAATTGTGTTCCTTGGGCTCCCGTTTCCTGACCGCAACATAATTATTTTTTTCTGTGCGTCAATTTTGGGTAGTACGACTTCTGGCCACTACTCCCGCCATGCAGCAGTGTAGCGTGTGTATTCCCAGCATCCTAGTTCTTTGTACTTGTGTATACCCTTAAAATGATGTTAAATAACGACTTATGAACATTTCAAGTTACGAACGGCTGTCCTTGCAGGTAAGCAACTTTGTAATAATCTTATCAGAAAACTTTAGTTGCAATAATATGCAGTTGTCCTCAACACTCCTGCATTGGGTTATGTGGATTTTATGTGCTCCTCACCTTTTTTGAGGCCTTTCTGTATGCAAAATTAGACTAAGGATTCTGTGGGGGGCAGGAAAAGCAACTTAGTAAATAATATATAAATTACAAAAGGGACCTTCTGACTAGGGGTGTAAAGATGTATTGATGTGAATCAATTATTTTGATGTGGTGTTTTAATACATCGCTCTATGACATCTGAATCAATTTTTGGGGGTAAATTAAAAATACAAAGAAGTAATGCCAGCATACAGATTTCCAAAATGTAGGATGACAGGAGATTTGTTAATGTTAATAAAGGAAGCGCTATCTGATCTTTGCACTCAGTGCAGCTTTTAATACTGTTGTCCACACAATATTAATCAATAAGCTCCATCAGTGTGTAAGCATCTTTGTTCAGCTGCTTAAATAAGACCTCGCTGCTATGTCTTCAAACTATGCAAAATGCTGCTGCTAGGCTGTTAGTCAGGTCCACCATTACCCACAGTCTATTGTTTTGCACAAAATTCAAACATGTTTCACTGTAACCATTGCAGTTTTCAGATTGATTAGGGGAGAATATGTGTAACTCAAAAACATGTGACTTTTTAAGCACTTTTTGACTTAACTGTTGAAAGGGAGAATAGACCCCATTGACCTTCTCATTTATATGCCAATTTTCAAAATCTTTACTAACCAATTATGTGGTCAACTGTATTTCTGTGTATATCTTAATGTTCATTTATGTCAATTATATCTTTTATATTCTTTATGGGGTCAATTCTCACATCAAGAATTCAAGTCACCAAATGCGCCTCAAAAGTCACACGCATTTTATTTTGCAGTACAGTTAGACTGTGCATTAGCTACAATTAATAAGAGCAGTATTTACAAATCAAAATATTTTTACCTCTTGGCTCTTTTATATAGATTATGTGTCAGGGTCAGCCCCTGCTGTGGTCCTATTGTGTCCCTTCCCTGTTTGACCAGCAGGTATTGCTGGTCATCCCGTTCTTTATGTTAATCTTTGTTCTCCCCTGTTACCTGTCTTGTCATATGGCTCAACGTGTTGAGCATCCAGTTGTGTGTACCCTTCTGTCCTGTGTTCAAGTCCCACCTCCTCTGTCTTTGTACTTTGCTCCCTAGTGTTTCATTTGAGTGTTTCTAGTTCTTGTATCTGGTGATGTTGTATTTGGTTTTTGGTTTTGTTCCTGGTGTCCCTGCTTGTGTCTTTACCTGTTCTGTAATTCCCCAGTGTTAGTTTCTGTTCCCCAGTTTCTGTTTCCTTGGTTAGTTCTTAGTTTCCCTGTTTTTAGTTCCTTTTGAGTTCATTAGTTTCACCTGTGCCCTGTTTCCTTGGTTTTGTTAATTAGCATCACCTGTCCTGTGTTAGTCTCGTTACCCCTTAGTATTTTAGTTCCTGCCTCTGTTCAGTTCCCCAGTGGTTCATTGTCTACAGTATGTGTTGTAATGGTTTTGAGATTTTCAGTGTTCAATGTGTATTCGGGTTTTGTTATTTAGTTTTGTTAATTAATCCCTTTTTAGTTTTTGACCCCTCGTTGTCCTTTGTTTTTGGTTAGTCGTTTGTAGTGTTTTCTGTTT